CGTAAACCATCAACAGAAAAATTTTGAACTTTTTTTTGCATAAAAATTTTACCTAATGCTCACGATAGGAACTATTAATATATACATAAACACATTTGTGCCGGCCTGTGTGTTTGCATATGTGTGAATTTGTCTGTGTGTGTGTGTGTGTGTGGTGTGTTTGTGTTGTTTTGTGTTTGTGCGTGTGCAAGCATTGTGTGCACGTAAACGCGTGTGTGTAAGAGTCTCATGAATAATTAATTTTACACCTTCATATAACCTACAAGACTCAATTTAAATCCCTAATAAACATATACACACAACATTTTTATCGATTGTTCCATTAATTTTTCTTCAGTGTAAAAATTCATAAAATATGCGAATAACAGCACCCAGATGTTCAATGTAATTTATTAAAAAAAATTAATGAGCATGAACATGATTAGTTTAATAAAACTAACAAGGAAATTGTCCATAGATTGGAGATGATCATTAAATCACTTTCAATTATCTCATCCGATTCTTCAATCGTGCTCAAAAAATCATGGTTCTCAAGTTCTCTAGTTTTGAAGTTTTGGACTAAAAGTCTGTTGAACGTCTCTAAAAATTAATACGTTTATGTCTCTGCCATGGAGTTTTAAATTTAATTTATTCAAGTGGTCAAATATGTCTGACAGGTATGCCGCTTGTGGAATCCAAGCTTTGTCATCAAAATATTTGTGAAAATTAAGATTTGTAAAATTTTAACAAATGCCTTTTTATTTTCTGAATTTTTTAAAATTTTTGTACTGGCTACACTTCCAAGGAAGTCCCAACTGGGATTGTGACCCACTGGTTTGGAATCATTGCGTTAAGGAAACAGAAAATATAATTACATGTTCCAAATACTATTAGTAATCAAATAGACCTGTTTTAAAGACAATGATAATAAAATTAAATCACGTTTATAAAAAGATGCAAACATTTATACTTATTTGATCTCTCTTCTAATAAATTTAAAAAACGTAAATGAAGGCAATGAAACAAAGAAAGCAAATACGCAGGTACGTAAACCGTCAGCAGATACAAATTTGAACTTTCTTTTGCATAAAAATTTGCCTAAATTGATATCTCAGTTTTTAATTTTGTAACCTTGTTTACTATCGAATAATTGTAAACTCTTTTATGGATCATGTTTTTTTTAAATTTTGATGAGTCGAACCTTATTTTTAGTATATTGCCGAACCTTATTTATTTTATTTTAATATTTCAAAACATCCTTCACAAACTGGATAAAATTAAAAAATTAATGGATGCACTTTTTTTCAATTAAATTATAGAAAGGGCACATCATGTCGTCTCCTTGAAAACTTCTACCTGCCTGCTACAACATCCGTCCATCCCATGCGAGCAGCTGTGCAGTTTATTACGCAAGGAACACATTTTACGGCTCCCATTCTTTGGGCTATCATAAAGAGCAAATGGACCCCAAATTGATGCAGGCAAGCTGCGTTCAGGCATCATCAAGCTAAGTTCTTGTTCTTTGAATGCCGTTCAGCCGTGCTTCACGACGCAAGCAGTCCGTGTAATAAATTCTACAGTTCCAAACGTGTATATATAACGCGTGATAAACATAAATGCATATACGAAAATGCATGGGACAAAAATGCACCACATTCAAATATTCACGCATGTTGCGTATAAAAAAAATAGTCATTGTAAACCGCAATTTTCTCACGTGCGTGTACAAACTAAAAAGTACGCAGACATGCGTAGGCATACGTTGGAATTGAGCATTGGATCTGAAAAGAAAACCAAGAAAAGCAACAACGGCAAAAAAACACGATGATGTCAGAAATGATGGAGATGATAAAAGACTTTCCAGATGCAGAGCGAGCGAGCAAGTGAAGAAGAAATGAAGAATAAGTGAGCGAACCTATGTTGGATCATAAAAGCCACCTAAGTCCAGAGTCATAAAGTCGTCAATTAGTACGTCACATTAACAACGTGTTCTCGAATGGCGTCTGCTGAATACAAAATGGGATGAGCGTTCGCTTCATGAAAATGATGTTAAGTTGAGTATGATGTTGTTGAGAAGATGACGGTTGCAACAACGATGATGATGATGATGATGAATTGAGTTACACGATCATTATTTGATGCGATGGTTGATAATATGATTGAAAAATAACAGGATGTTAATCGTTTACACGCTCTCGAAAAATGAATGACATTTTCAGACGTAAACGGCGTCGTTAGCAAAGAAGAACAAATTTACTTGCTCGTCTTTACAGACCACAAAAAATCAACCATGAAAATCAAAAATGAAACCACCCCTTGTGTGCTTGCATCTTTAAGTATAACAAATTAAGTCCTTTTACTTGATGAATCGATTCCATTTATCAAAACTTTACAATTCACCACTCGAGTAATTATTAAACCAACCATGAAACGTCATTAATAATTTTATGGATTTGTAGTTTTCAAAATAAAAGGACTTGTAAGATAATTGTAGGTGAATTTTTTATTACTAAGTTTGTAAACAATCTAATTGTAAGGTAAGGTAAGGTAACTCGTCGAGCGCTTTTCGAAAAACCTCTGCTTAAGTCACATCCACTTTGTGGCCATTAGACCAGCTATCAATTATTTTCAACAGGTATATTTATTATGCAGGTATCCTTATTTAAAATAATTTTATTTTCAAAATAATTTAACAAAATATCCACCGCGTAGCAAAAAACTTGCAACACATACAACGCATCAACTCTCTTGAATGAGAAAATGAAACTTTTTCGGTGAACTCATAAATGCGGTGCTCGTCCAAACATTCGAACAGAACCATGCGCAACAAAGTAGAGGCAAACGAACCTACATGAGAATCAGCCAGGGGCTGGATTTGATTCCAGGTCACCTGGGCGATACTTAATTTGCCACCCTCCAATTTATAATTACTAAGTTTGTAAACAATCTAATTTTTTTAATTCAAACAAATTGTAAATTTCTGAAAATTTGTTTTTCAGGCGTTTTGTTCGATTTTTTTAATTTACAAAATCGATACTGTCAAGTTGTTTTTCTTTTTATGGACAAGTGTTAAAGTTCGTGGCCGCAATTTACACAACGTGGAACGGAGGTGGTCTGGTCAGCTTCAACTCGGAAAAGCTTCGTTTGCAACAAGTGACGCTAATGTCTATTTTTCAAAGATTTCCAAAATAGATAGTGTTGAACAAATGTCTAAGAGGTCCATCACCTTCATGCTTCAAAGATGCACGCTACATCTCCTGAAACAGGTATAACCATGAAGCTCCTTTTTAATCATGAACCTATAAAATTTTGAGCTGGAATCGTCTTATCATATTTTTCCATTATACAGTTAATTGAAGTTTTGCCTTAACACATTAATTATATTTTACACCAGAAACTTCCTTAAGCAGATAAATATTCATTCTGGGAGGTTTTATAACGAAGCAAATGCGTTTTCTTCAATGTTAAGTTCAAGTACTGTATTCAATTTCTATGTTAATATTCTGTACTTAAGTTGAAATAATTTTAAACGAATTAAAAAAGAATTGTCTATAATATGTTTATTAAGCCAATGAAACCACGATTGAAAAATAAAATCCACATAAAATGTAATAAAAAAACTTAACCATATAAATCTAAAATCTAGGAAACAAAAGCAGTCCCCTCAACGTAGTATCTTCTTCAATTACTCGCCACAATTACGAGTGAAGATCACAAAATGATACGTAATGGAAACCAGAAGACCCTGAGTTCTAAAGAATTTAATCTCATGGAACTTTGATTTTTGCTTTGAAACAACATGGGTTGCGTGCTCTGTTTACACACAATAAGAAGTTAATAAATTATGAACTCGGCGTGGTCCATTGAACCAATTAATAAACAACATCAATTCGTAATAGTTCAAACGAAATTAAACATACAAATTTATTTTTAAAATATTAATTGAAGACTGTAAAATTTGTAGGACAACGTAGCATCATTGTAAGTCAAAAAATTATGAAACTGAAGAAAAATCGACCAAAAACACAAAACAAACTTTTGATGAACATTCAAATGAAACGATGAAAACGACCTCGCGTATCTCATGCAAAATAACACGAAAAAAATGTTCATAAATAATGAAAAAAATGCATATATGCAAGAAAGAAATGTAAATAATATGCACGCATGGCACAACAGCGCACACACAAGCACGCTCCACTCGTATTTAGCACGTAATAATCTTGCCTGAGTTATTTAAAGTGGCAAGTTTATGCATGGAGCCTTTTGCGCAGCTGCTCCTTGCCATCCGTCACTGATGAAAAATTAAAATCACTCTAAACATTTAAAAAACACGGTGACGGTAAGTCAATCAACACTTAATAAAAATAACGTGTTCATATCTTCGTTTAAAAGTGCAGAATCCCTGCAACTAATATAGGATTAAAAATTACTAATTAGCCACGTTAAATAAATATGGCAATAAGTTCATGCTGATAAACAATTGAAAGTTGTTGATGGATTAAAAGACTGATGCAGTTAACAGGCAGGATGAACACCTGAAAATGATTGCACGTGGAAACTATGGAACCAGTGAAGAGGTCATATTGACAAGAACACACATATCAAATGTTGGAACCAGAACAGCTTGAGTCATATAAGAAGGCATCAAAGCATCTTTGCATTGTATTAGTTCATGCACTCGCGCTTTAAAGAACAAACAGGTCTCGCTTGGTACATCAAGCTGCTTTGGGGGAACCATGAAATGTTAAATTATTATGCCAACATGCCAACCATTAAATTACGGTTTGCTTAAAAATTAGTGCACAAATGCCCATTAGGTTGTGTGGTGTGTCAGTGAGATTGCCATAAATACGAAAGTCTAGAAACATTATCACGAAACATGCAGCGCGTCATTCATTTGACATCATAGCAAAGTGGCAAACTGCGTTGTTCATAATACATTTCGTAACATTATGCCCAACATTCATTTAAATACAAACCACACACACATATACATAATACATATATATACATATGCATATACATGTTATATATATATTTATATATATATATATATTTATATATATATATATATAAAGGTGTGTGTGTGCGTGTGTGTGTGTGTGGCATATATACACACAGACCAAGGATTGTTCAGCAGCAGTAAAACGTTTGTAAGTTGCAAGCGGGTGATATTTTGTGCTCAGGAACACGTCAAAAAATGTTTGCGAAAATGAAAGTACATTATTCCTTATAAATAAAAATAACATTTAATTGCATGTAAACTTAATAAAAATATCTCGATATTGCAAATTAAATGAACGTTATTGAATGGAATGAATGGATTGCTGAAATATATGAACTGAACATATTTAAATTAAACCAACATCTCGTCGTGTTTAATAACAGAACGGTATAAAAATTAAACTATCATTACATGATAAAACGAATATAAGTGAAAATTATTAAAAATATGATATTGATGAAAGTGATTGAAATTCATATCGTGATGCATGTCAGCTAAGATGGTCTTGTGGTCTCTTTCTTATGATGTGATAGGTTTTAGGATATCAATGATATTCAAATGGCCGACACGAATGCACGCACAAAATAATATCTAAAAAAAACAATAAATTGAATTAATTCATAAACAAATAGTTAGTTGAAGAGAGATCTAATGAGGATGCCGAACATCTGAACATCTTAAAACTTTGTGAAATGCGAAAAATGTCTTTTATCGACGGCAGACGTAGACGACGGTGACGTTGTAGTAGTCGACGCGGCGGAGGACGGCGCTGAAGATGCCACGTGCAAAAACTGACCGGCCGATGACGGTGGGGACGTTGGCGGACAAACAAACGTTGCAGATGATGACGGTGAATAATGACTAGCATGACTCATCTGAGTGAACGCCATCGTCGATGGTGGCGATGGTGCAGATGCAGATGCGACTGATGATGACCGAGCAGACGGATGGGACAACGTGATGCTAACTGATGCCGTCATGACGCTTCTGGTTGTTTCACTCGCCTGTTGAGGACGCTGATGGTGGTATGGCAAAGAGGATGATGGCGATGAGAAGAACGTTGGTTGGAGAACATTACTATTGTCAGGTGACCAGACAGACGATCGCATTGGAGGAGCTGAAAAAGGGGTAGCGCAAGTGTTCGGTGATTGGTCGGATTGCAAAGATGACGACGACGAAGAAGGCGTCACTATTTGTTGTCGACGTTGAATATATGATGGTGACGACGTCCCCGGATGTCCTATGCTGACTGAGCTGGCATGTTGACCGTGTGTCGAGGACGATGCCGGTGATGATGATGATGATGTCTGAGAAGAGGGAGGGTGGCCGGGAAAGTGTTGCTGAGGAACCATGTAGAGGGAGGAAGAAAATGTGCCGGATGGTCTGAAGGGCGAGCCGGTTTTTGAAATCGACGAACGACTGTGAGTGCTGCTATCACCAGTTGGTGACGACGAAACCACCACGTCTGTGCCGAACATCGTCCACTCCATTGTTGATGCTAGTGGTGACGATGAAACTGGAGTGAAGGCGTCCGTGCAGAGCGGATCAAATCGCCTGACGTCGGGATATGAGAATGGGACCGGTGAGGAGGATGTGGACTGGGAGGATGATGATGACGTGAGGTGAGAAAGTGAGTGGGGAGGAAGAACCAGAGAGTTACGTTGCTGCAGTTGTCGGACATGCAGTGGAGCAACATTGGAAACATTTGGCTGCTTTTGTTGTTGCTGCTGTTGCTCAGATGAAGATGCCGCTGAAGAACCTTTCCAGGGCGAATGAAGAGTGGTCAATGATTTGCGTGGAGGAACAGGGGAGGGTTGGGTGAGATTCAAAACATTGGTAGCGAGAGCACCAGTTGAAAATACTGCAGTTGTGTTACTGGAAACAGTTGCTTCACTACAACTGCCCATAGAACTGCTGGAAATTGTGCCGCCATGAAGAATATTACAACTGTCATCAGCATGTTGCCTTGGCTGTCCAGGAGGACTGAGCCTTCTGGTAACTTCCTCATACCAGCCTGCTACATCAACATGAAGAGTCGAGTAGCGCTTCACGAAATTGTGCATCTGCATTCAATCAATCAATCAATCAATTAATTAATCAGTTAATTAAACAATTAATTAGTTAATTTTTGTGCAAATCAACAAACCGTTTATAACGATAAATTTAAAACACTTAGTAATAAAAACCGCAAGTTCTTAAACTTTGAACTTCAGAAAATAGAATCCTACCAATTTTTGCAACAGCTAATAACATTACATAAAAAACATTTTTGTGACGACATGCAAAAGTGAGGCAGTTTTTTTAGTTTTAGAGAGGAGACAAAAGTGGCATCATCAGCTTCAAACGAACCAGCGCAGAAAGTATTCAGTCGCAAGGATAACATAATATGTTGCGTATTATAGGTGCCTGTTGTTTCGTTTTGGTTAAGGGTGACTTACAGCAGCATAATGAAAAAAGTTTTATAAATTTATTTAAAACGGTTAAAAACTGATGTAATGAAAGTGAAGATGATGCGTGACCATATAAACTCGGTAAATCTCTCACAGCACTCGCAGAAGCACGTTGGATGGGCAATGGTGGAGGGAGCGTGGAGGCAGTCAGCAGGCAGTCACTGGCGCTGTAGCAAGTGAGTGCACGAAGCCAGCAACATTAACCAACACACACACGCACACAAGACCACAGCATTCACATCGCAGCCCTCCAAGAATCTAAGCAGTCAAAAGGTTCCAAAATGCCAGTTTTCAGGGATTATGCACACAAGATACATCGGCTCTCAGAAAGGAAAGTATTATTTCGCTACACAGCTTACTTTGGAAGAAACTGTTCGAATGAAACACCAACAACCTCTATGGAAAACTTTATAAATAAAATTACTGCAAATAAACAATTAGATAACCTCATGGCGTGCACTGTGAGGCATGTTGAACAATGGAAGAAATAAAAATCAAATACAGATTACTTGTGCATGGAATGTAATGTACGTAAAATGTAATGTACGTGGAATGTAACTAATTTAAGGAAACGTCGATAGTGGAGGCAGTTGGCATCATGGAAGAATGTTCGAAACAGGTTGAGTAAAAAAATATAAAGAAATGGCTAAATAATTTTTCCACCTAATCTGGTCGAAAAAGAGAATTAAAAAAGCATGAAAAAGTTAAGTTCGTAATTGATAAATTGTGACCATAACATGCATTAGTGAACCACGTTTGAATGGCAATTCAAGAGTAAGAATTTGTTTTATTCAATGAAATTTAATGTTAAGTGAATGCAAATATTTCAATCTCATTCAGTTAAAAACTCACAAGCAGTTTTGGATATTTCGGCCTGTATCGATAGTCTTTCGTTAAACTGTTTCAAAACAAATATATCAATAAATAACATCATCAGGTCGTCAATAATAATATTAAATTAGTACAAAATGCATTGCCTTAGAACATATAAATAATGAATTGGCTTCTAATCTATAATATATATATATATATATATATATATATATATATATATATATATATATAAATTGAATAAAATAATGATTTGGCTCCTAATCTATTTCAATTTTTCTACAAAGTTAGCATGTTCATATAAAAACTGGCGAGAATCGGAACATGAAAATAACAAAAACGCAAAATGGCTTCTGAAAGGAACAAGAGACGCCATTGAAGCGTGAGAAGGATGGGAGAAAGGTAAATACGTTTTACTGATTACTGGACAGTGAAAAGTGTTGGGCAGTGTTGAGTGTGTAAAGTTTAAGTCCATACTTGGAAAGTGAGTGAAGTCTGTATAGATAAAAAAAACTGATCAATAAACTGAAAATGGATGGCCAATCGTGATAACAATCAAAAATCGAAAGATTTACTCAAATTAAAATTATAATTAACAAGCATGGATTTACTAGACAACTCGCATTGAACAAAACATCAAAACATGGTTGTGATGATGACATGTCTATGAAATCTATGATACGTATGTTTATATTATACTAATAACTTTGATGGTATCAACATACGCAAATATAAAATAATGTCAAAAAATACTTTTATTAAAACCTAATTTTTTTATAGAGAAAATAAAACTTTATCATACCATGAGTTGACCAAGTTCTCGAAATCCATAGAAAATCCACGGCCTGGTGGCAGACGAGGTTGTTCATCCTGCAAAACTTTTGTCAAGACCTCAAAGTCCGTCGTACAGTTCTTGTAAGGAAACTCACCAGTTGCCAGTTCCACCTGTCGCCAGCCGATCACATCATTTCAAAATTTCAGTCATTCAATTATTTAGGAATGTTAGAGAAAACAAACAATTTACATTACACATCGTAGAGAAATATTATTATCAGACTGTTAATAATTTTTTACTAATTTATTCTCAGATATACCAATAACACTCACACAGACACAGACACACACAGCAGTTGGATGTGCGTGAATGCAACCATCACGCACATTGCATGTTAAACATGAATAGCTATATACACTGGAACCTGGTCACTGTGCAACAGCAGAACCAGCCAAACATCATCAACGCCAGCAAATCAATATATGCTGTGAAATAAACAGCTGAATTGAATGTAAAAAAAAAGAAATGATTCTAACGAGTGTGAGTCCGAGGCTCCAGACATCAGCTCTGATGTCGTAGTCGGGTTGAGAGGGGTCTGGCGGGTCGATGCGCTCGGGCTGAAACCATCAATATATCAAATTATTTAATTATTTAACAACATTTTTATACTCAAAATTATATGAGTTTTTATTCCGTCAAGTTGTTGTCAACAATTTTATTTTATTCACGCCTACCAATACTTTTTATTAATATTTGTTTATTATTAAGTGAAAAAAAGAAAATGCACTTCAATTCAACAATCCAAAGGTGAGCAATTTCAAAAAACATTACGAGAAAAAAATAAATCAAACAAATAATTACACAGTTTTTAAGAAAATTATTTGTCACCATACAATGAACAACAAAATATAAACAATTAAATGTGAACATCTACTAACACTTGACAAACAAACAAATATGCAAACCAACAAAAAAACACACACACACACACAGAGACACTAAATGATCACAAATTTGGACTACCATGCAAAAATGGCACAAACCATCAAATATTACATGGTACCACATCCAACAAGTATGAATTTATAACATTATTATCAACACACACCAAACAAGATACAACGATACATTAAAACATACATCAAACAAGATACAATGACACATCAAACAAGATATACAATGATTCATTAACAGACATCAAAGAAGGTAGAGAAAGACACCAACAGCCATGTAGGCAGCGCACCCAGCACTACGCGTCTTGGCTTTGGAGTCAACCAGTCTGCCACTGATGCCAAAGTCGCACAACTTGAAAGTACCTCTCTCGTCTAGCAGGATGTTCGATGGCTTAACATCTAATGAAAATAAGATAAGCTATGCAAAAATGAGCTCTTCATGTCATTTTAAATGCATCCATGAATCATTCATTATTAAATAGAATTAAATGAGAAAAATGTAGGGCTTGACCAGAACTTAGCTTATATATGTCCGTTTGCTGGTAAAATGCACGGCAAATGAATAACAAAATATTAATTTGAAGGCAGGAAGAAGTGGAAAATAATTATGAAATAAAATGGAGTGAATACAACATGTAGAATGTGAAACAATGAAGCAGAGAAATAGGGCAATAAGAAAACAACTGAAAAAAGTAAGCCGATTGAAAAATTAAATTAAAAACTTGAGTAATAAAAAATGAGGGAAAGAATTGAATCAATGGAGAAAAAAATAACGCTATTAAGAAATAAAATGAAGAATAAAGCAACCAAGTAGAAAGAGGAATAAAAAATGATACCTCTGTGAATGACTCCATGTGATTCTTTCAAATAATTCAAGGCATTTAATGTCTGCAAAGCATTGTTTAATCAACAAATTATATCCAAAAAATTAATTTTAATCACTTTATTGAAATTGTTAAGCAAAAAAAAAAAACAAAAAAAATGTGAGAACATTTGGCAAAATTATAAAAATGCTATTAGAAAAATAAATAAGCAAACGACTAACAATACATTTTAAAACAGTTGAATAAACAAATGAATCAACGGGTGAATGGACAAACGGATGAACAAATAAATGTACAAATGAACAAATGAACATATGACGAAACTAACCGCCACAGTAACTTTTCCAAGAATCTTCTCTGGAATGGCTCCTAACTTTTTCATCAACTTGTCCAAGCAGGTCGCCATTATTTCCATGCATATCCACACATCAGACTGACAACAACAACAACAACGTATATATATATATATATTGCATCATGTCGTCACACACAAACTCAGCTGTATAAACTCTACATGCATGCATATTAGCATAGCAATAAATAGCCATTTGAATTAAATGTTCTATCAATGAAAAAGTGAGAAAAAATTGAGTTTATTATTTACGTAATAAATTTGAATTTACTGCAAAAAAACGCCATCCAATCCATGAAAAACATCTTAGCTTATATAATAACCTACAATACCCAGAGCAACAAATAAACAGGTAATTTTTATTTAAAAGTCTCCTAAATTAAACATCGTCACACGCAAAATAAAAATTTAGATGGAATAGAATAAAAATGAATACTGACGCTAGTAATGAAGGTGCCTAGGCACAAAACAATGTAAGGACAGCTGTGACAGTTCATAACAACATCGAGATCCATGATGATTCTCTTGTTCTCATCATCGTTACATGACCTTCGCATTTGCTTCACAATTTAACATCAACTTTCTAATTTAATTAACTCTTTATTGGATGAAATTTTTGGAAGGATTTTAAATTCATGTTCAATGCAAAACATATGATTAGAAAAGGTTTAGAAAATGAATCTTTTTTATAAATAATACCAAAAAAGTATAAACAAAATATATCAACAAATTGAATGAGCTTGTAATGATCATGAAGAGCACAAATTAAACAATTTTAACAAGGTATGTACATGTACAATGATACTAGCTTTCAACAGAGAATTGAAAACAATACAACTCAACAAAAATTTCTTTAAATAATTTTTGCTGATGAAAAATTACCTCATTTAAAAGTATGTGACAAAATTGATACGGCTAAAAACGCAAACAAAGCAAACATCACATATACAACAAATGTGAAACGTGACACATATAGCAGCAACAAATGTGCAACATGATACATACAGCAGCAACAAATGTGCAACATGACACATACAACAGCAACAAATGTGCAACATGACACATACAACAGCAACAAATGTGCAACAAGATACATACAACAGCAACAAATGTGCAACAAGATACATACAGCAGCAACAAATGTGCAACATGATACATACAACAACAACATAATCACAAATGTGCAACATGATGTACACATACTTTGACAGCCATGACAGCACCAGTTGGTTTGTGCACCATTTTAATCACGTGACCGCAAGTTCCATGACCCAATTCTCCGAGGGCTTCCATGTCAGCTATGCCAGTTTCCACATCCTGTACATCATTTTAGGAGTATTTCATTACAAAAAAAAATTTACGCATCATAGTTTAGAACTGCACGCATATGATTAAACTACACATTGTCATGTACCAACTCAAACAATTCAAGCATTTAATACAAAATCTTATAAAAAGATTAATTGTGCACTCCAGTGTCCAATCTCTTTAGCCTGACATGTTTGTATTCAAAGCTTATATAGACACAAGTTTTAATATCAATTTTAAATTTTGACAATTCTGGCTAAGAGTGTCCCATTGGCAAGAATTATTTTTCTTTTGTGGCTGTCCTACTGAATGAAATAAATAGAAACTGTGATGAACATTGTGATGTAACTGCAATAGAACATATCCTTTACAGCACATGCTCATACAGCAGCAGCAGCGGTCGGAGCATTTCAGTTTTTCAAAACATGCAGCGCTCAATTTGTGAGGCTTATAAAATGTAGGTTAACATTCGGTTCCACGTATTACTATGAAGCAAGCAAGGCAATTATTTTGTAAACAAATCAAGAGAAAAATAAAATGAAGAAAAAGCATGGGAAATAAAACAAAACTTTTTAAAAATAATCAATGAGTGACCTTCCCATCAATAGTCAACAATCCTGCCAGCTTCATAATTTCCTTTAACTTGTTCTCTATTTCAACGCTGCAAATATTCAAATATTATATTATAAACATTTCATTAATATGATATATTTTGATAACCTTTTACAATAATTAGTAACAAAACAAAATTTTATTCAAAAATTTTCTTTTTTTCCTTTTAACTCTTTTTTATAAGTACGGTCTCATTATTGTCACCAGTCATTTTGTAATTTTTAAAGATAAAATGAAAACGAAATTCCATCTACACAATGGTGCTCATCTACGCTCACTGCTCATCTTCAAGGGAAATGTAAAAAAAATATTTGTTCAACAGCACATCACACCTTCAAGAATATTATCAAACAAGTTGCTTGCTAGATCACCAAAGCAGCAAAAGCAGGTTTATAACTTCAGCATGTATTTTTAACCCACTGCCCAAACTCATATTTATACTTGATTGCAAATATTTTTATATACAAGAAAATACAAAATTCCAGTTTGGTACTTATTAAAAATCAAACTCATTAAATTATTTTTGAACTAATCATGAAAGACACCAGTTAAAAAAAGTTGATCATACATAAATTCATATTTATCAAACCTTTTTTGAGATTTGGCAACTGGAGCAAAAGGGATATGGAAATTAGGCTTCTTCCTTGGTTGTCCACCCAGTGGTAAGTTGCCCAAGTTTCCGGCTGATCGGGGTCTTGAAATTATGACATCTGTATTTGCAGCCGTTGAAGGGCTATTACTAGCTGAATTTGACACCCGGGCAGAACTTTTAACAGCAAATTCATTGGTGGACCCCGGGCTAGGAGTTTCTAATTGAAAAACAGCTGTTGGAGAGGTTGTTTCAGCTGCCTGTTGCTCTGAAGGAAGAGTGGTCACATTTCCTGGTGTAACTAAACGTTGTGCACCACTAGGTGGGAGGGGTCGTCGTAATTTGGGACACTGCAAATTAAAAGGTGTGTTTTCTGCAGAATGAGGAGCAGGAGGTTTTATAGGTGAAGATAAAGCTGCCTTTGGACGATTTGGTGCAGACTGTGAAAGTTGAGCACTGTCAGCTGCAGTGAAGGAAGAAGCAATTATTAATTAACTTATTGAAAATAAAATGTTTTTTAAATTAATAACTGTCTAAAATTTATTAAAAAAAAGGATTTAAAACAGTTTAACTCAATTAATTTAACATTACCTTCTAAAATTTATTTAAAATAGAATTTAATTAACAAACTATTAAAAATTAAATTAAAAAACCTTAGTTGAATAATATTTTTGATTTAATAAATTGACAGTCTAATTAAATTTTAATTTTAATTTAAGAATAGTATAAAATTAACTAACAAACTACTAACTAAATTACTAAAAGTCAAAAAAATCTAATAAGTCCGACAATGATAAAGCAAAAAAAGCATATTATAAAAAAAAGCTAAAAAACTGACTTAGGCGGCTGCATTTCCTAGGAGAGGGACTAGCTAGACTGAAATTTACACTCTTGGGGAGTCGGTCGGTGCGCTTATTAGAAGCGGCGTCTTGCTCGGTCGATTTGTTGCCAACGTTCTCTTCTGATTCAGCCTTCTTGAAACGAGCCTCTAAATCATCAATTTTATCTTGCAATGAAGACGAACTCGACGCCATGTTATATTTCTGCTTCTGCTTTTCGTAGGTAGTTCTTTTTATTGCTGACAAAGAAAGTTATTTTTTTAAATTTTGACTAGTCAAAATTTCAAAGCGAAAACATTTCGCGAGACAGGTTCAGTCGAAAGTGAACGGTACATAGCACACAAACCAATTTAAATTGAGTGAGGTTGTAAGCAGGTTGTTTACTTTTACTTATGTTACTCTACATAGGTTCGAATCACGTACGATGCATGTGCACGATGTGCACGATGTGTACGTTACGTTACATTACGTTGTTGTACTGTACAACCTTCCTTCAAAACCACATTTCCCTATTCTCTTAACATCTTACTATATAATAACTGGTACTTGCTTTTTACCTGACCGCCAAAATTGTTTACCATCTAATGAAATCACATTTTATATTATTAACATAGTCGTTATTAAGGTCAAATTTTATGAAATCACGTTTTATAAAAAAAATTAAAATGTGAAGACAATAATTTATTTAATAATTCTTTACTTTAACTCCTTGCTACCTGTATCTCAATCTGGTTTCAGACCTGCTCACAGTACTGAAACTTCTTTACTCAAAATACACAATGATATCCACTCTAGTGACAATAGTAATCTTACTCCTCTTCTTGCTCTTGACTTTTCGTCGGCTTTTGATACTGTTGACCATACTATTCTCTTGAGACTGCTGCATCATTCTTTTAATATTACTGATTTTTGTCTATCTTGGTTTTCTTCTTATCTCTGTAATCGTTTTTCTTCTGTTGTTCTCAATAATTCTACTTCTAACTCTTCTACTCTTACTTTCGGGGTACTATTGTAACTCGCTCTATGGTCTTCCTGATTCTACGATCTATCCTTAAAGTAAAGCTTTTAACACTGCTGCTCGTCTAGTTGCTCGTGCCCCTTTCTTTTCTCATATATCTCTACATCTTGTTCTCTTGCACTGGCTACCTATAAAATATAGAATAATTTTTAAAATTTGCACGTTCATGTATAAGTCTCAATCTAAATTATTTCCTAAGTATTTTCAGATATATCAATTGAACCTAAACGCCCCGGTTTACGATCGTCTTCTTCTTCTTTTTCTCTCTGGATCTCTCTACCTACTTCTCTGACTACTTCTCTATCACTTGCGAAGTTCAGAGCGGATCTCAAGACCCATCTGTTTTCAAAATTCATTGAGGAGCGCTGTTGAACATCGCGGAAATAGCGCTTTATAAGCTAAATGATTGATTGATTGATTGATTGATTGATTGATTGATTGATTGATTGATTGATTGATTGATTGATTGATTGATTGATTGATTGATTGATTGATTGATTGATTGATTGATTGATTGATTGATTGATTGATTGATTGATTGATTGATTGATTGATTGATTGATTGATTGATTGATTGATTGATTGATTGATTGATTGATTGATTGATTGATTGATTGATTGATTGATTGATTGATTGATTGATTGATTGATTGATTGATTGATTGATTGATTGATTGATTGATTGATTGATTGATTGATTGATTGATTGATTGATTGATTGATTGATTGATTGATTGATTGATTGATTGATTGATTGATTGATTGATTGATTGATTGATTGATTGATTGATAAAATTAAAATCCCATTTGACTGAGTCTTACTTTAAATGCCTGCGTCGTAGTTCAATAACATATTATTTATTTGTCTTTGTTGACTACTGTTTTTTTCAACTCACCAAGCGTATTATTGGCCTTTTTGCTGCTTCTGTGCATTAATACACCATCGCTGGTCAACTCACATCAGCATGTAGAAAACACAGTTGAGGTAGCTTCCATTTTAACTTCTTCGGAAGAATCCACTCAGCCAGTCGAGCCAGTCACGATGGGCCCTTCTCAGCTGGTCGAACCACATAAACAACAACAAGCCTCATCGATGATGAGTCCTCCCTCCGATGTCAATTCTGCGACATCAATAAATCACGACAATGGCTGTTAACAATACTTATTCCACAATCAATTCTATCCAACAACATCCTCAACCATCAAACAACGACGAAGATGATCAACACTTTAACGCATACAACACCCACATCGACCCCACAAAGAACCTCCTAGATTCATTCACCAGACAGTCATCCTACTACACCACAAGAGATCTACTCAACATTCTAGAAGCCAAGTACATCAACAATCATGATCACCCTCTACCTCTACTTCACATAAACAGCAGAAGTCTTTTAAATAAAATTTCTGACATTTTAATTTTAAATAAATTTTTATCTTATTTTTTTCCCATTATTATTATTTCAGAGACATGGCTGAGTGACGAATCCGCTAAACTAGTTCCTATGAATGATTACAATTTTGTTTTTAAAAATAGGTCTGACAGAATAGGTGGTGGAGTCGGAATCTTCATCAGATCAGGCATTGAATTTTCTATGATAAACAATTTGCTTCTGAACGACACCGTTATTGACCTTCTTGGTGTCAATTTAAAATTAAACAACACACATGTAAATATTTTAGCAGTATATAGACCCCCCAACACTGACCCTAATATCTTAATCCAAAAGCTCGAACTTATTTTACCCACATTCAAGCCACACATAAAGAGCTATTTAATTGGCGACTTTAACCTTGACCTCAATAAACTCAACAGTGACAACGTCGTTGCTGACTTCTCTAACCTACTATCATCATACAACTTCTTACCTCTTATAACCTCCTCTACTCGCATCTCAACTTCTTCTTGCTCACTCATCGACAATATCTTTACTAACAATCTAACTTCTCACTTATCTGGAATAATTCTGTCTGACATATCTGACCATTTCCCTATATTCGCCATCGCTTCCAAATCAGAAATCTCAAACCATGCCCCTATAAAGCACTTCAGAAACCTAACTGAAGAATCTATAAGCAACATCAACAATTTCTTATCGAACTACAACTGGAATTCTTTGACTTCTCTAAAAAATGTCAACGACTGCTGCTCTGTTTTGAATACTATCTTAACTCACTCTCTAGACACTTTTGCCCCCCTCCGTCCTGTCAAAAACAAAAAGAAAAAATGCTGGATCAATGACAACATTCTAAGTCTTGCAAAAAAGAAAAACAAACTATACATCATAAGCCTTAAATATCCAACCACCCGCAACATTGCCACCTACAAAAGCTTCAGAAACATGTTCACATCTATTAAACGAAAAACTGAACGAGACTACTTCTCTAACAAACTTGAAGACGCACATAACAATGTTGGACAAAAATGGAACACTATCAAAGAAATTCTAAACAGGCAACCTCCTAACTCATCAATCACCAAACTAACTATCAACAACCAAGCAATTGAAAATAAACAAGAAATATGTGACCTTCTCAACACCCACTTTGCAAACATCGCTAGTCAACTACTCTCAAACCAACCTCCCTGCTATGGTAATCCTACAGATTTTATGAGCCCATCCACACCCCATTCCATTTGTCTATATCCTGTTACTGAACAAGAAATATTAACTACTGTTAATATCTTGAAAAACAAAAAGAGCTATGCAGACGATGGACTCAACATGTTCCTTATCAAAAGCATAATTTTCTCTATCATATCACCACTTAATCATATCTTCAACTTATCACTAAGCACTGGAATCTTTCCTGACTCATTTAAAATAGCCAAAAATCATACCAGTATTCAAGAAAGGAAACAAAGATGACATTAACAACTACAGACCCATCTCCATTCTTTCCCCGCTGTCAAAAATTCTTGAAAAACTTTTCTTTAAAAGACTCTCTAATTTCTTCTGCTCCAACAATACTATCTGCAATAACCAATACGGATTCAGACCCAACCACTCAACTGAGCTTGCTATTCTTGACTTCACTCAGCACATACTAAATGAAATGAATAACAAAAATCTTTCTATTGGCATTTTCCTGGACTTATCCAAAGCCTTCGATGTCATCGATCACAAAATACTCCTATCCAAACTACATCATTACGGAGTAAGAGGCACAGCTCACAACTGGATGAGAAGCTATCTTTCATCACGGACACAATATGTTTCCATGGACAACATCAATTCAAAGCACGCTCTTATTCATCACGGGGTGCCACAAAGATCCATACTAGGACCCCTTCTATTTTCTATCTACATAAATGACCTCTGCAATGTTTCGCCCTCAACCAAATGCGTACTGTTTGCAGACGACACCAACCTTCTTTTTACTTCCAACAACCTACCAGATTGCTCTGAACATATCAATCTTGAACTCCAAAAATACTCTAACTGGTTATCCAACAACAAACTAATCATAAATTATTCGAAATGGGCATACATTATTTTTGGCCCAAAAATACTCACCAACCAAGCTCCTAACCTAAACCTATTAGTTAATGGTGTTCCTATAAGCCGCACCCTGTCTACCAAATTTCTTGGAATCACCATCACAGAAAATCTTTCATGGAATTCTCACCTACAACCTCAGACAAAATCAACAAACTCACAGGCATCTTCTACAAAATCAAATATAAACTCTCTCTTTCTGCTCTTCGCACGCTTTATTACACATTCATCTACCCTTATCTAACCTACTGCATCACACTATGGGGAAATAGTCCAAAAAGCCACCTGAATAACCTAATACTTTCCCAAAAAAGATCAATACGTTTAATTTTTAACCTCAAACCCAATTCTCATACTAAACCCTTCTTCCTAGCAAAAAAAATTTTACCAGTTAACTTCATCTGTCTTTACTACTCTGCTTTATTCGTTTTTAAATTTATCAACAATCTTCTCCCACCTCACTTTATCAACTTCTACACATTAAGTAACTCCGTTCAATCTACAACCACTAGACACACCCCTCTCTTCTATATCTACAAAACTCGCCTCAAATTAATCCAGACAAGCATAAAAATAACAGGTCCTAAAATTTGGACAGAACTTGTACCTCCCCATCTAAGAGCCATCATAAACCTACAACATTTCAAGTCAAAATTCCGTGCTTTTTTATTGACACTGGATCTCGACTCCACCACCTAATATTATATTAAGAATACGCTAGAACAAATGATGCGGATGAATGGTCTTTATAAATGGTTAAACATTTATGTGTTTATATATGTACTGAGCGAACATTTACATAGTTATATGTCTATATATGTATGACACGAACATTTACTTATTTATCTTCAATTATCTTTCTGCTTCAGTTATTTTCCTTATTTTATTTCATTAACTATTCATGTATCTACCTGCGGTGGCCACCACAAGACAAACAGTCTTATTCGGTCTCCGCATATTCAACTTCATAACTTTTATTCACTTATTTGATATATTGTTGATTATGAATAAAACTTTGAAAATGAAATGAAATAAGACTTATATATAAATGAGCAAGTTTTAAAAATTATTCTATATTTTATAGGTAGCCAGTGCAAGAGAAGAGAAAGGGGCACGGAGCAACTAGACGAGCAGCAGTGTTAAAAGCTTTACTTTAAGGATAGATCGTAGAATCAGGAAGACCATAGAGCGAGTTACAATAATCAATCCTAGATGAGACTAACGAAGTAACAAGAAGGAGAAGAGTAGAATGTCAAGAAAAGGCTAAAGTTATTTTATTCTACATAGATGAAATGATTCCAGGCCTACGTCTATATCAATCAGTAATTTTCGATTCCTAACCGTAATACAATGTTTCCTTGTGACAAAAATCATATAACTTTTGTAATTTGTAAAACTGAATAACCAGAGTAACTATTTAATTGATAAAACGACAAATAATTTAAACTATATTTGACATTATTAACTTTTTCTCAGCTGTATAACCAATTGAAGAAATAAATTAAATTATTGAAACTTTTCTAAGTAGCACACCTGTAACCTGATGAACCACGCACAACACTGCTAATTTTACTAAACTTTTCACATTTCACATCATTTGCCTTCTTACATTGTAAATATTACTTCCTTAAGTATTGTATGAACGACCGAAATATTTAAAGTAGTTAGTAAAAAAATTTATAAAAAATCATGTCTGAAAATATTTTAAGTCTTGCGAACAACACAAAACTGAAAATCTTAATCGTGATTGCAATTGTTTTGTTTTCAAGAGATGCCTCAACTGCAGGTTCTCTTTATTTTCTTTTTTTTAGACTTCTTAAAAATGTTATTCATTAATTTTATTTTATTCCTTTTCTTTTTTTATCCGTTTTTTGTTTATTTATCAAATCTTGTCTTAATTGATTGTTACAGTATTATTGAATTAATTTTATTTCAAATACATATTTATATATTATTATTATATTAGTATTATTTGATTTATTTATTTACTTAAATTTTTACATTTATTTGCAAGTTAAAAGTAATTAAAAAAGTTATTATACTTACTATATTCCCTTGCTTGATGGATTCAATTTTTATAATCAATGTTAGAAAAATTACATCTAAAAATGATTTTTTTTAATTAAAATCTTTTTTATTGTTTATACTTTATAATATAATTCAATTCCAACCTTCTTTATTTTAAATTAAAACCATTGGTTTGTCATGGATTAGGTAAATGTCAAATGATTTAAAAGAAAATTATTTATATTCTTTTTTATCTTATCTTTTTTTTTATTAATTGTTAATTGCTATAGTAGTATAGTTTTTTAATTTATCAAAAGAAAAACTAGAAAAAAAAACTCAAAAAACATCAATGTATTTATTTATGGCATAAATTTTTTGTTGAAAATTAAAATGGATAAGTTAAATAATTTTTTTTTTATTTTTAAACTGAGTTATTTGAAAACTTAGACTGGTAAATTTAAATTTTTTGCTCTTATACTTGAATTTAAAAACAATCATTTCATTAATTTATTTCATGTTTTTTATGTTTACCTAGTTTTAGCTGAATATGAATGATTCACTTTTAGTGTGAACCATTCATAATTATTTTTTATCAAATATTAGGTCTTAATAAATTTAAGACTAGATTCCATAATTAAATTATTTTAAAATTATTTTATAGCAAAGTTCCCATTTGGGGTTTATTAATCTACAAAGAAATATAATTGTCAGAACTTATGATAGTTTGATAATATCATTTTATTTATGACATCACCCTGCTAAATCAAATTTTTTGTTTATTATTTTGAAGCCTTGTTCTGTGTATTCTCTTAATATTCAACAATTTTTAAGTCTTTCTATCAACAGTTGTGTTTTTTTTTCTTATCTTGTCATCCACGCATCTCTATTAAAAGTTGTGTTTATTAACACAGTATTGAACGATAGTTAGGATTATTTAATTTCATCATTAAATTATTATTTTTATGCCATTTTTTGTGAACTTCTAGAGTTTCATAAAAATTCACCATTAAATTTTTAGAAGGAAAAAGACTTGGTAGATACATACAGCACTACGAGCCAATAAATTATGATGTTGAATCACTTCACAATCAACATATTAGATCAAAACGATCATTGGACAACAAACCAATCAATATTAAGTTTCATTCCCATGGCAGGTTCATTTTTTTTCTTTAGTTTTTTCTTAATTGTTTTTGCACACTGTGCAACTTATTTGTGAGATTTATTTGATGTTATAACCAGCTAACAATTCAAAGATATAACCAACTCAGTCAGTACTATGATTTGATAACACATCTGCAGAAATTAACACGTTTTTGTCTTTCAATTTGGTATATTATATTTTAATAAGTTGAATTGTTAGTTTTGGTCCATTAAAATAAAGCCTGGATTTAACATGGTTTAACTGGATTTAACATGGCTGGAAATGCATGGATTCACATTCATCATAATAATCCACTGATCACCATGTTTGTACACACAACACCATTACCACCATAACTTAAAGTATTTCAAATCACCAACAATTTTGCAATTTTAATTTGAAAAATTCCTCTTCTTTCTTAAAGTTTTATGGCACTGCTCATTGGAGATAATGTGTGAAGAACTGCAGGAATGTATAATTTTTAAGTAATTTAATGGGATGTATTTCTATAGAGAGGAGTAATTTTTTGATAGGAGTAATTAAGTATTGTTTAAGGAATTCATGCAGTTTAGTAGCTCTTCATTAAATAATTAGCATGATGCCATGTTTTATGAGTTAGATTTTAATTCTTTTGGTAAACATTCTGCAAAATATTATTGGTTAATTTTATTTAGGATGTTTTCATTGTAAATAAAAATATCTTTCTCTGTCCATCCCATCCACATAATGAGGATCCACTGTTGAGTCTTTGATAGGAAGGCACATTTGACTGATATTGGTATTTAAATATTCAATAGCTGAAAGTTTTCTTCCAGTTGACTGGCATCCAGATGGCGTGTTGTGGAGCAGAACAAGCCATAAATGGTAAAACAGAACAATGCATGAATGAGTGGATGTGTCAAAACAGAAAGTGAAACATAATACACTAACAAAATCTTTCTGGATCTAGCTCAAATTATTATTATATGCTATTCATCACCTAGCTCTGAAATTATCTGATAGTGACAAATGAAATTGCATGATAGTGATAGACAGAGGAATTAGCTCAAGGACATGTCAACTGTGGAAGTGTAATTTTTTTCGTAGATATTTGAAGATGATTTGTGCTGAAACTAGGTCCTGTTCAATCCTACATCTAGTACTACATTGCATCATCCCATATTATGTATTTTTTAATGTTTGGCCCAGGTTGTTTGGTCAGCTGAACTGAGAGATAAGTGAGGCAAAAAAGGAACAAACATGAGAATAAAAAATGGACAGCTTAAAAATCCAGTATTGATTTGGGATGATTTTTTGATCTTATTTAAGTTAACAAAACAATTAAATGGTCAAGGATTAATTAAACGTATTATGGGAGGAGGTGGCCAACGTTGTTTGCAAGAACCTGGACAGCTTTTCGAAACGTGGCATTGTCATTAATTTTTTATATGTTTGTGTAACACTTGTGTTTCTGGCTCGGTGTCATTGAAATGTTGATCTAAAATTTTATTTTTTCTACGACTTTTTGTTGAGGAGACGTCATATAACAATCAAGTAGCGTCATGAATGTTGTTCATCTTCCATTATTTAAAGTTGAATGTTTCACCATAGAATTTTAATCCTGTACTACCGTGTTATAATGGTCCAGAAAACCGATTTTGAGTTACAAATACACAATGTTGTTCTCTTTAATTGACTAAAATATTTAATAAGATTTGGCCATTGGCAATTTAGTTGTTTTTTCATACGTTGTAGGCTCGGTTATAATGTATTGTTTTTTAAAATTTGTAATCTATACTATAGTAACCATTGGAACAATGGATATTGTACTAACCTGAGACGCAATATCATGTAATGGCAAACTTTTTTTTAGTCATCAGATGCTTCAAGGATTGAATTGTGAAATGGTTTTTATTTACTGTTTAAGAGGCTATTGAAAGTTGGCTGTTGTGAATGACTCAAATCATTTCACAGCAATATGAAAAATGCTGAAGTCAGTAAATGCTGCTAATAATAATGATGCTACTTACCATGTTGGGGTTGATGAAGATGGTGATGCTAATTATTATATTGAAACATTGCCAATGGTATTAATAATAATATATAATAGTATATAATAATAATATATAATAGTATATAATAATAATAATAACAATTATGATGTTGATAATGGCAAAGTTCTTGTGGATTTTGATGGTTTTTTGTCATGTTCATAATGATGATTAAGACATGTAAAGGAAGAAATGATGAAACTGGTGACGACGACGACGATGATGATGGTAACGATAATGATGATGATGATGTTGGTGATGATAACGATGATGATGGTGACAATAATGATGATGATGATGTTGATGATGATGACGACGATGATGATGCTGCTGAAATTGGTGTTGAGGTTGTTGACGATGACGGTAATGATGATGGAAAACTTGCAACATGTTTCATAAACGTTCCAGATCATTCAGGCTGATATTAACGCCAGATAGCAGCACATTTGTGAAGCACCCATCCCTACTATGGCACAACGGCCAGGTTGACAGCCAAATGGACCTATCCCACATCTATTCTGGCTACGTATTCGGTGCTTATTATTATTATTATTACTATTATTATTTGTATTATTATTATTGCTATTATAATTATTCTTATCATGTATATATATATATATATATATTTATATATATATTTATTATATACATATATATATATATATATATATCTTTACAATATTCAATTTATAGTGTTTCGTATTTCAAAATTTCACACTATCATTCTACTTACACTATTTTCTATGTAGATTATCAATTTTAGTGGTAAATTTATTTAAAGATCTATCTATCAGCAGTGAAATTAATGATAATGTGCATTTTGTTTATTAAAATATTTTTGCTAAAGAGAAAAAACTTGGTTTTTTCTCTTTAGCAAATTTTTTAAATGGTTATTGTCAACTCAGGTGCAACTGCCATGACTTGCTTTTATCAGATTGAGTTATAAGGTGAAATAAAATTTACATGCATTTTACATTTTCTATCTGAAAATCTTTTTATTACATAATTGATTTTAGTATAGTCATTATGATAATAAAAATGATAACAATAATAGTAATAATTACCATTATTGTTAATAGCAATAGTATTATTATTTTACCAGCATACTAGCTGGTCATTCAAACTGAATGAGTACAAGAAGAGAAAAAAAGTTTCAAATTAACAATTCAATTGTTGTTACTATCTCGCAGTAGAAATGGCATAAGATGATGGTGTTGGTGTTGCCCAGATATGACAATTACACAATTGATCAGACCAAATAATGATGATGAGTAATAAATTTAAACAATTTCATAAACCCAACGCTGAAACTTCAAAAGTGTTATTTTTTATTTTCAATTGTTTAAAAGTATGAGCAAGTTATTTCTGAGTTTGTTGTAATATTTAGACGTTTTATATTCTTTTGAGTTGAAGAGTAATAATAATAATAATAATAATAATAATAATAATAGATAAATATATTAAACATAATATCTGGGATGTTAATTACGGCACTACTGCTATAATCTGCAACCCTGTTTTTTGTGATGCGTGCTACCACACGATAGCAGTTTATTAAATAATCATTTAATTTCATTCAGGGCATTTAATGAATGCGTATTGCACATTACTTTATACAGCATCTGTGTTCAATTATCATTCTCTCTGACTGATTTCATGTGCATGTGTTTTTGATAAAATGTTCTTGTAATGCAAAATCTATCTTGTGTTTATAATTATTATAAATATTTATATAAAGTTTGATTCTAGTCTGAAAGCATCTAGTATGTAACTTCAGCGTTTTTTGTTATTTACAAAAATTGCACTTATACAAAAAAACGTTGAAACTCTGGGTACTCTGCTTCAGTAAGCACAACTCTTTTTAGCAAGTTACCCATTGGCCATCTACTACCTTCTATTAAATTAAATGAAGACATTATAAAGACTGTTCTAAAATTTAATTCATTTAATATTTATTACTTAACAATATTATTTTTTCACGTTCTGTCTAATTTGAATTTTATATGATATTTTGCGATTCATTGACTCATCTATCAAAATAACGATTAACAACTCTATGTAACTGATGCAGCGTAGCAGGTATCTCTATTAATCATCATCTAAATCTGACAGCTTTAAACATCTTGCCACCAGGTAATAATAATTCATACGTATATGGCTCTATAATTGATGGTGTATTCACTGGAAGGATTAAACTTTCTGATGGCAGTGTATATTTTGTCGAGAGGGCTATTTTCTACCTGGACAAGCCATCCTTCCATTCCATCATCTACGCCGATGAGGATGTTGTCGACCGGCCTACTGACGCTGATATTCTCGGTAATGATGCCACAGCAGATGGGAATAACAATAGGAGGTATGGGCGTATTTCTGCGTTGGAAATCTATTCAATTTTCTTCGTGCATTTTGATTCATAACATCTTTAAAATATTTCAATTTAAAAGCTGTAAGTGCATGCGGACAAAGCATTAATTTAAAAAAGTATAGTTCTAAAGAGCTGCTTCAGTAATAATGTTTGAATAGTTTCACAGCCAGTTAGAAGTGCGATGATTTACAGAAGGTGCAAATGAAATCAAAATATGTAAACAGATTAAAAAAATTTGAAATGTATAGATGTATTAATTTGTATCATATGCCTGTAGGTATAAGTGGTGATGGGATGGAATACGTTATCTCAATGGATAACAGTGGTTTCCAAAACTGCAGAAATGTTTAAAGAAATTATTTAAAAAAATTATGTAGACTGTCTTCTGTTAAAACGCAGAACGATTCAGATTCGAATTTGATTTTAGATTATTTAATTAATTAATAATTAATTTATTAATTACTGAGGATGTCCATAATGACAAAATTTCGATGCAGATTGAAACGATCCATATCTGACACAAACAGCGGCAAAACAAACCACAACGTAAATAATCACTCGTCGCCTCACCACCACCACCACCACCACCATCACGCTGATTGTGGAATGTCGCACAAGGGCATTCATGCTTGGATGGAGAAGGTTCAAAAATCCGCCATCCCCACTTCACAATCTCCATCTGCCACTTACAACCAGGTTTCTTTTTCATTTCAAAAAATTAAAGTCGCCGTTATAAAATTATCTCTTTAATGTCTGTTATTTTGGTAGATTCACATTACTTTGAAAACATTTTTAAAGATGATTCTATGAAAAATTTGACTCTATCGTTAAGAATAGCATTTATATCTTGCTAAACTCATCATTTAATGATGCAAACAAGTGCATATGAGGTTGCCCTTGTCACTGATCAGTCAGTCAGCTTTCCTACCGTTTTGAAGTGTCTACATTTTTCCATCTGGCAATAAAATCGCTTCAAAAGTTTTTCTATCCTAAATTTTTCATAACTATCTCCAAAAACGGTTGATGTAAATTTCTTCCTGCCCTTATCATGTTTTCTTCATTCCACTCTACTTAATCGTCTTTTCCATCCTTTCTTATGTTCTCATGAGCAATACATTTAACGTCGGATGACATTTATATTTTTTTGTAAAATTCATTATTAGTAATCACTAGGGAAAATGTTGAGAACTTTAGAAGCAAGTTGATTTTAAAAAAATGAAAATATTAAACAATTTACAGAAACTAAAAGGTCCAAATTATTTCGGCTATGAAAATAAATACAGCTTTGAATCAAACACGAACAACAATTTTGGCCACCGTCTGAAACGAGACACCAACGTCATAAACGCCTACAAGCGCCAATGTTCTCTCTACCTTCAATCAGACCCCTCACTTTGGGCTTATTTTGCAAAACTAATGGTTATTCTTTGCTTGCTTGCCTACTGTTGATTCTATTTAGTTTTTCCTGTCACTATATCTAGTCAGAGTTGTTGTTGTACATTCTTGCTCTTGTTGTTGTGCATTCTTGCTCTTGTTGTTGTTGTTGTTATTGTTGGGATTTGTTGTTCTGACCAAAAACAATGAATATTAAATATTTTATTTTTGTCGTTATTAATTCCAGAATTTTTTGTTTAAGGGTCGTTTGGTCGTCAGCCTAATTTTTATTTATTCTATTGAATGATTGAGAAAAATGATTTAAGAATCATCTATTTTTGTTTTTTTTATAAGTGTTGATTGATTGATTGATTGATTGATTGATTGATTGATTGATTGATTGATTGATTGATTGATTGATTGATTGATTGATTGATTGATTGATTGATTGATTGATTGATTGATTGATTGATTGATTGATTGATTGATTGATTGATTGATTGATTGATTGAGGTTGTTGACTTTAACCTATAATGAACTTTCCCTCCTTATCAGAGTGAGGATAAAATAAAAGATGAGATAACAGCACTGTTTTCTTCCCACGTTGATGCACTGAACTCCGTTTTCAAGAATACAAAGTTCATGTACAATGGCATGGGTCCTTTTGTCAACTTCAACTTTGTGGTACATCGAATTCAGGTGATGGTACCTTCTTGTTGTTCATAATGTGGTCGGTGCTCACTGTTGTTGCTATGTGTTTCTTAACAATCTCTTCTCAGCAACACATGCTTCTGTAATCTCTGTTTCCTGGTGCATTAATAAAATATGCATCGTGTGTTGAATTGTTTTATTTATTAATGCATTCAATTCAGCTTTCATATTTACCATATAAAAGTTTTTTGTCATCAAGAACCAAGATTGCATTTGTAATGTACATAATGAATTGGCTTCCGACACGTGAAATGGTGATGATGGTGATATTTAATAATGACCAACCAACCGACCGACCACCGTGCAGATAAATTCGACCTCCATGTGTGGCAGTGGTGGGAGCAATCCGACCAGCGGTTTCTGCAAGAACAATCTGGATGCCAGTAACTTTCTTAACGAACAGTCAATGACCAATCACAATGACTACTGTTTGGCCTTCACCTTTTCATACCGTCAGTTCACTCAGGGAACCATCGGACTTGCCTGGGTCGCTCAAATAGGTTATCTCGTCTTTTTATTATTCCTTGAGTTATTTTTACGGTTATATTATTTTTTTAATATTTTTCGTAATTTGTTTCGCTAACTTTGTGCTGCATCAAACAACTTCTACATTTCCCCCAAAATAACTTAACAAGTGTCATTCAAGACATCTTTCTCAATTCGAACCACACTGTTCTGTCATACGTGACATGATTAGTTTGCCGACTTGTTTATTTCAATCGTTTTCATCTTCATTCATTTTTATCATTCTGGCTCTTATTTTCGTAGACGATAGTTGAATCCTCGTTTGTTTCTATATGATGTACATAATATTTATAATTTGTATTGATTTATATATGTACATATATAGATATATTTATCATCTCCTCTCTCTAACATTCCTAACAATCTGTTGACAGGTAGCTCTGGAGGGATCTGTGAGAAGTACAAAGAGTTCTCGGAAGGTTCTCAGAAAATTTATAAAAGTCTCAACACTGGCGTTGTCACTTTGTGCAATTACAACAGCAGGTTGGTGTATCCATGTGTCTCTTTAATAATTTCGGCCATTTCATTTGCTTGCCATTCATTGGAAATAAATTATTGAAAAAATTTGTTCTTTTTTTCTTTTACAAAATTGTTTGGTAGTTGGGTTATTTTAAATGGCAATTATGTTTGACGGCTGAGAATTATATTGACATAAATTTATTGTAATTTTCAAATCGTTAAATTATATTAACTGCAACTAGTTTTTTCAATTGAAACTGCTCTCTAATTGAAATTATTGTTATTAAAACGATTTTCATAGTTGATTTCTTTTTACTGTTAATCATTCACCTTCATTCTTGGATGGTCGCCTACTGAACTCATGTTTCACTGATAAATAAAATTATTATTTTGAACTTGCATTACAGAGTGCCTGTGAAAGTTTCTCAGATAACATTCGCGCATGAAGTTGGACACAATTTTGGATCACTGGTCTGTTTGTGTTTAACCTCTCAGTTGCTATCACGGCGTATTTCTTTGTCTAAGTAGATAATTTATGAATCAATCGGATTAATAAATTCATCTGCTACAATATGATTTGGTTCATTTTGATTGTGTGTGGCGATGGAATTATAGTATTATAGTATCATTTTTGTAGTAATCTGTAGCAGGTTTGATTGCATGCATAATTTATTATGGTTGATCCATGCGAGCAGCATGACTCCGGAGCCGCCTGCATACCCTTGCTAGCCAACCCATTCGACAAGAGTGGAAACTTTCTGATGTATGCCAGTGCAACGTCGGGTCTCCAGTCCAACAACAACAGGTTCTCAGAATGCAGTATCAACAACATCACAGTGGTCTGTGGTTTTTTTAACTTTTTTTTATGTCTTAGTATTTTTTATGATGAAAAATTTTATTTTTAATTTATTAAGTTAATATTTCTGATGGAATCAACAACGGTTGCAAAAGATGGCAACAGTCGATTGAGGGAATGTGAATCAAAATAATTCCGACTACTTATCTTTCTTTCTTTCTTTCTTTCTTTCTTTCTTTCTTTCTTTCTTTCTTTCTTTCTTTCTTTCTTTCTTTCTTTCTTTCTTTCTTTCTTCCTTTCTTTCTTTCTTTCTTTCTTTCTTTCTTTCTTTCTTTCTTTCTTTCTTTCTTTCTTTCTTGTAGGTTTTGGATCGGCTGTTGCGAAGTTCCGACCCTCAGGTGAACTGCTTCCAAGAGAAGGAAGAAGCGTTCTGCGGGAATGGCATTGTCGAAAGTGACCCTGCTAAGAACATCACCGAGCAGTGCGACTGTGGCTTTGTGAACGACTGCAAGGAGGCCTGCTGCTACCCAAGATTGATAAGTGACAACTCCCCA